CCATCGAAGTGAATTCTGTCTCGTTGAAAACCCCCCCACCTATGCACCTCTCTATTTATTTCCACCACTTCAAAGCCTTTCTCTCGACTCATCCGCCATATCTCTTGGTTTGCGTTGACCACCGCTCTTTGCAGGTTGCTATCACGCACCGGTACCTCCGGTATCGTGCATATCACTACCTGTACCTTAGGAGAAGTGGCGCGCATGTCATCGACGCCTTTCGCCAGTGTGGCTGCTAGTCCTGCTGCATCTCTATTTAGGACATCGTTTAAACCGCCTGAAATTATCACTAGGTTTCGTCTATCAGCTGTCGTTTTGAGCTTTGCGCTCGCTTGCCTCATGACTGCTTCCAGCTTGCGTCCGGGGAGCGCCCCTACTGCAACCCTCTTGTCACCTCTTACCCTCTCTTTGATGGCTTCTGTGCATCGATTTAAATTCAAGTCCCCGGCGATTATCACATGCTGCGACTTTTCAGCTGGAGCGTTCTGCACCTGGGGGCTACTTGCACCTGTGACGCCGGCTGCTTTGTTCCCTCCCTGCCCCACCACTACCTCGCTGAAGCTGGGCCTTGCGACACTTGAACTGGCTAAACCTGTTTTTTCCAAACTTGCCTGCTTTTCCTTCTCCACCGTTCTGGTTGCCGGTTCCCTACTGTTCTCTCGGTAGGTCGCTTCTTTGTTCAGCTTCGCTAGCGCTTCCTCGGCGGACTTCAGTCTTTCTCCCATTGCCCTCGTTTTCTCTTGCTCTGTCGCCAACTCAGTCTCGAGCTTGGCGATTCTCACCAGCAGTTCATTCTGAGCAACCATCATTTTCTCCATTTTTTCTTCTACCTCACATTGCCTACACTTCGCGTCAGCCTCTTCTCCATCCGCTTCTACGCTTGGGTCCACTTTCAAACCCACTCCACATCCTGAACACTTTACAGTCTTTTTAACCATGCCTTTCTGACGCCAATTGTCCCTATACTCGATAATTACTAAACTCGAGCCCTGCACTACGAGACAAAAAAAGTCTAAGCTCTACTACAAAAATGTGTGTGTTCAATGTACGCGCACCTCCCCCACGGGGTGGCAAAAGAAAAAAAAAAACAACACCAAAAAAATTTTAAACACACACACCCGCACTAACTAATAAATACCTAGTGACTGGCTCCCGAAAAAGCCGTACCATAAAATAAGTGCTACGAAGATTTCAACCGCTGCCTTATAATTACAAAGACAAGCTCAAAACATGCAAAAACACTTATCTGCGCAGTCGATCCAGAGCGCTCAAAAAACACGTCCATCCACCTTGACAGCCCGAACGATAAATCCTGTAATGGATGGATGCTATGAGCGTCCCCTTTATAACGGGGTGGTGACAAGTATGCCACCAGGCTCGACAAAAAAAAAAAAAAAACTTTTTTTCTTTTTATGTTGGCCTAATGCCTCTACTTCGATAAATTCTATCTTAATGGAAAAAAAGGTAAATTTTCAGCTTAAGTTCTCTGCCATTTACGGCACACTGTCCATATTTTATTTTTCCAATATTTATTTTTGTCCTTTCTCTCTAATTTTCTGCCACCAATACTCTAACCGTCTCTTACTTATTTCAATCGCGGGTGTGTTCAGCTTTCCATTGTTGTCCCTAAAACCCAAGGCTTCCTGTAGGCTCGTGCCCAAACGTACACCTGGGTGGATATCTCCACATTCAATCAGAACATGCTCCGCCGTTTCCTTATCTTTCCCGCAGCATGTGCATTGTTCTTCTTCTTTACTGAATCTTGCTTTATAACTACGCGTTCTAAGGCAACCCGATCTCGCTTCAAACAGTAAAGCGCTTCCCCTTGAATTATCGTAAAATGCCTCCCTCCTTATTTCATTTTTGCCCTTTCGGTAGTTACTCAAAGCCGGTTTTTTCTCCATAGCTGCCATCCAGTAAATCCTCTCCGCCTCCCTGACTTTTCCCTTAACGCTCTTTGTTGACATACGGCTTACAATACCAGCCGTATACTTACTAGTGAGTCTTCTAGTTCTTTTTCTCCACTGTGTGTCCACGCTCTTCCTATACAAATAACGGAACACCTTCTCTGCCCATCTACTCTCCTTCATATTTCTTAGCCTTTCTTCGAACCTTATTTTGCTCTGCGCTTCCCTCGCCTCAAAACCTGCCCACCCCATATCGCCCTTTACAGCCTCGTTTGTCGTCTTCCCGTGAGCACCCAACGCGAGGCGTCCCACAGTCCTTTGATTTACATCCATTCCCGCTTGCACCTCTGCCCTCATGCACACCACTGAGTTCCCAAAAGTAAGCCCTGGAACCATTACACCTTTCCACAGACCTCGAAGCACCTCATACCTATTGTATCCCCACAACGCTCTGTGCTTCATTATTGCCGCATTCCTCTTTCCTTTTGCTGCCGAGGCTTTTTCCTGTACCTCCATGTATCTATCACTCTCATTTACCCATACTCCAAGGTACTTGTATTCACTTACCCTCGGTATTTCTTGGCCTTGTATGGACACCGTCTGATCACAGGGATCATTGAATACCATCAATCCACACTTCGTTACACTGAATCTTAGTCCAAGAGCTTCACCTTCCCTTCCGCATATATTCGCCAGCTGCTGTATATCATCTCGACTGTCCGCAAATAAGACGATATCGTCCGCATAAAATAAACCTGGAAGCTTCTGCTCAATCATCATGCCGCCCTGTTTGTGTGACAGAATAAAACCAATGTTGCTACCTTCTAGCGCTTTTTCCATACTCACCATGTACAGCATGAATAACAGCGGGGACAAAGGACATCCCTGTCTCAGACCCCTGCTAACCTCAACGTTCTCTTTGCTACGCATTCCTTCCCACTCTATGCAGACTGTATTTTCTCGGTATATCTCCCTCAAAAGCTGTATACAGTCGTCGCCCATGCCCATTCCTTTCAATATATCCCACAAAATTTCCTGATTAACGTTGTCGTATGCCCCAGTGATGTCTAGAAAAGCCACGTACAAGGGCCTATTCTCTATTTTGGATATTTCTATACACTGAGTGAGAACAAACAGGTTATCGTCTAACCGCCTGTCGACTCGAAATCCGTTCTGAAGTTCTCCCAAAATATCGTTATGTTCGGCCCATGTTTCTATTTTCATTTTTACTGCTTGCATCGCCATCCTGTATAGTACCGATGTAATGGTTAGTGGTCTATACGAGCGAATCTTGTCCTTTTCTCCCTTGCCTTTATAGATTAAGTTCATTCTACTTTGTCGCCAACTGTCCGGTATTTGTCCGTCCTTTAAGCTTTTTTCTACTGCTTTTAACAATGCTTCTTTAGTGTTATGTCCTAGTTCGTTAATGAGGCTAACGGGAATCCCATCTAAACCCGCGGCAGTGCGCTTTGGAATTTTTCCTTCGGCCTTTTTCCAGTTGAAATTATCAAGTACTAGCTCTTCCTCTGTTGCTTTCTCCGCCACACTTTTACTCACCGGGGAGATCCCCTGGACGCTCTTTTGAAACGAATCGGCTGTTACCTTTTGGATGTAACCTAGCGCTTCGTACCCTTCCAATTGATTTCCTCCTTCATCTAGAATATGTTGTTGCGTTGTGACAGACTTCCTACCTAGCGCCTTTATGTGGCTCCAAAAAATCCTAGGCGCGGCCTCCTTTTTTTCGTGTATCTCTGTCATCCAGCGTTCACTTTCACCTTTAATTTTTGCCTCTACCAATTTCTGTACAAGGGATTTTTTCTCTAAATATATTTCCCATATTTTTTTGACTTCGTCCTGCGGCCGCTTCTCCTTTTTTGCCTTTCTATGCTCCCGTGAGGCTTCGCGTCGCTTCTCGATCGCCTCCCGGATTTCCTTGTTCCACCAACTTTTTGGCTTCCTTTTTCCTTTCCAGCAAACAGTTTTCTTCTCTTTCCCTATCTCCTTCGTCATTAGATGTAACAGCTCACTATACTCCCAGTCCTTGCCTGGTATTTCGCCTACTTCTTCCTCGACTCTTGCGGCTATATTTATTATTTGTTTGTCATTTAAATACGAGCTGCCAGACTTTGATTCCATGCTCATATTTTCAGTTTCGTATCCCATTTGTAATGTTATTCGTTTATGATCACTACCCAAGCTGTTAATGCCTTCCTCGTCTATCCTCATTTCTGTCAGTTTGTGGTAAATTCCTTCAGTCATGAGACAATAATCAATACTTGATTGCTTGTTTCCGACTTCCCATGTGATCTGGCCGTCACATTTAGGCCCCGTGTTAACTATCTCCAGACTATGTTGCTCGCAAAGATCTAGTAATAACTTCCCATTGGTGTCTGAATATCCGTCAAGGTCATGTATGTGGGCATTCATGTCCCCTAGAAGGATGATTTCGGCCCCATTACCAAATTCCTTAATATCCGCACTCATGCAATCCACTATCTCCTGATTCTTTTCTCTGCAGTTATTCCCCGTCCACAAGTAGGCTACCCCTAGCCACGTTTCCTTTCCACCTACTGTGCCCCGAACCCAGAGGTGCTCTGAACACGTCTGTTTCACTCTAACCCATTTGGCTCCGCGGTGAATTAGCATTCCTACACCCCCACCTTTCCTTTCCGATATGGTCCTGTTACACCCTTCCCAAACATAATTTTTAATATGTGGTGGCTCTTCCAAGTCTCTAAGGTGTGTTTCTGTAACCGCATACACGCCTATCTGTTCTTTGTTTAAGTGCTCCTCAATCTCTAACCATTTTGCCTTCTTTCTGCCACCCTGCATGTTTATGTAACTAATTGCAACACGCGCCTTTTTCCTTTTTCTTTTACCTTTTTTCTGGTTTTTCGCAATTCTACCTGTCAAAGCGTCCTCCTGGTTGCTTTCCCTGTTACGAGCTACCCCGGACTCCGAAGGGCCCGTGAGCCCGTAATTCCTGTTTACCCAGCGCCCCTAGCGGGAGCGGATAAAAGTGCCGTTCGACGGCCCCCCGATGGCGGTGTGCCCGGCACAGATTTTTGTACAGGAGGCACTGGCCTAGCAACGAAAGCGGGGTGGTCGGGTGGAGGGGGTCGCACGAACGGTTACGAACACGGCCTCCGTGGTTGCAAACCTGACGCAGATGCTGCCTGAAGTTTCGTATTGTTGCTTGAAAACGGCACGACAGCCAATTATTCGCGGATGAAGGCGTGTTTTCGCAGGTACGGGACGTGCGACTCTTCGTTCTAAGTTCTAAGCATAAGAAAAGCGAAGCGCGCCACCTCATCGCTACCTACCTCACGTGCGTCGACGGTCCGGGACGTCGCTTCGACGTGTTGATAAGTGGTGTCCTCTTTTCAGGAAGCCGATCTCAAGTGTTCGTGTTGTAGTACTACTGACACCAGATTCGACTGCATCTCTCGAAATGGCTGCACGCATGAGAGCTGACGACTTTAATTTGCTGTTTTATTCTCACTTGCTGCCTCATCGGATTGTTTACTTGGGCAGTGTGCATAGTTTGAGAATAACCATTTCTCGTGCGAACGCGCATTTGCCGTTGCTTAAAAAGTCAACGTGCAGGTTACAACGTGCGCCTTGCCTCTCGATGTGTGCAGCCTGCATTCGTCGTAACTGGCCTAGCAGAAATCAGCGGTTTTACGCAATGGCATTTGTATCCATGCTAATTTGAAATAGTTGACCGCGATCGCTACTTTGTTTCTTTTTGTTTGCAGCTGTGTCCGCTGATATAGTCATATTCAGTGATTAGCGTGTGAGATCGCCTGTCACAAGTATATTTACACCCGAGCCTTGGAGAGAAGCGAAATGGCCCTGACATTCGCTGCACAGTGCAGAACAATCGGCCTCAAGTTTTTGTTTTTCTGTTATATATGCGCGTTTCGCACCTGTCATTGTGCAAATTGTGGAACATTACTGCAATACTTGTACAAATTATACGTCAAAAGTTTCTATCACTTATTGAGCTTACGATGTAGACATTTGCTTCTATTAAACTTGCCTTAACAAAGCATCTGGGCATCCGGGATCTGGTATTTCACTTTGTTCTGATGCCTGTAGGCAGAGTGTTCGTGCAGTTTAGTTGAAAAAAGCACTTGCAAACTCCAGTAGAACTGATTTTGTTATGAAACTGCCAATGTCATCATCATCAGCCTAACTACATGCACTGCATGGCAAAAGCCTCTCCCAAGTACTGCCAATCAACCGGGTCCTGCACCACTTTATACCTGCATATTTTTTAATTTCATTTGGCATGGAAGAGCAAAGGCTTGGACAGAAAGGACATCTACTTAGAAGAAAGATGGTGAACTAGCAGCTGAGTTTATTTCAGAAAGTGTCACACCACAAAAACATATGCGTAGTCGCAGGGGCGGATTATCCAAGGTTCAAATGAACTGGGTCCTCCGGTTTTAGGGGGCCCCCCAAGGGCCAGAAAAAAATGGCTGACTTCGTTGTTTTGTTAAAAAATGTTGACCCTCTTGATAGAAACAGATTTTCTATTTCAATAATCAATATACATGCTTATAAGAGGTTGCTTGTTGCGTAATGTGCATAATCGTGAAAAGAGAAGTGGGGAGTCTTAGGCTGAGCAGTATGGAAAGTCGATGCAGCTGGGTTTCTCAACATGCCACACATAAAAAAAAATTAACCTCCAAAAGTCTTTCTCATGAGGATACCTAGAAAGTATTTTCTGCTACAACTTGTACAACTTGGCTACTGGTTAAATGGAAGCGTCTCGTCGGAAGTGTAATATTTTAAATATCTAGGTATCATAGTCACTTCACATCTTTGGTGAAACGAACACGTTTGTTGCATAAAAAAAAAAGCAGTATGTAAAGTATCCTAGCTTACGTACTGCTTTTTGTTTATGTAACAAATGGGCTTGTTATGGCTTGACGCCTAGCTCCCGTAGAGATAAGCTATTAGCTTTTTAATCGCTTTTCCGACCAATGACTGAATACGTATCAATAGTATGAGACCATACACAAAAAGAAAATCAGTACGCTTTATTTTTAATATGTACAGCTGGCAGACACCAGCAAGTACACTTGTAGAAAAGGCTGAACTTAATTCCCTGGAATTCCAGAATCGCACAAAAATATAGTGCACCTATATAGGCGCACTATATATACACTTTCATCACTCAAAAAAATAATGTGACTGCCAAACAGATGTATTTCAGAACACATTTTTGTTATGAGTGGTAGGGGAATGGGATAAGCTCTCAGTTAGTGTCATGGAATGCGTGACCACAGCAGACTTCATTCTGACACTTAAGGCTCTTTTGTTGACTGTATATATGTAGTATGGTTCTACCAGTGCATTTTTTCTTTTTTTTTTTTTCACGATACTTATATCCAGTAGCGGTCACCTTATATCTGACAAAATTCATATATTGTATCGTGCCATGTCCACTATGTGTTAGTAGTATTTAAAGTGTAAGGGTTACAGTGTAGTTATGTGCTACTGTGATTGTCGATGTAAGTACTTATATTATTGCCCCCGCCGCGGTGGTTTAGTGGCTAAGGTACTCGGCTGCTGACCCGCAGGTCACGGGTTCACATCCCGGCTGCGGTGGCTGCATTTTTGATGGAGGCGGAAATGTTGTAGGCCCATGTGCTCAGATTTTGGTGCACGTTGAAGAACCCCAGGTGGTCGAAATTTCCGGAGCACTCCACTACGGCGTCTCTCATAATCATATGGTGGTTTTGGGACGTTAAACCCCACATATCAATTATTATTGCTGTTGAAAAGCACTGTGTAGTATGCTGTTATTGCTTTTGCATAGCATGTATGTATTCCTTCATCTTTGTATCCCCACTCCTGCTTACAGCCTTCTTTGGATAGCAGTAATTTACATATAAATAAATAAATAAAATGTAGTGCTACCTTCGCTCATTATGTTCTGTTTTCCAATGCCAAGCCCTGGGTGAAGTCTTGTTTGGTATTTGTTCAATTTTTGCATAATAGTTTTCCGCTCGATTACACTAGTGTTCAGCTGGCTTCTAGTCAACCCTACCTGGCACAGTAAAGCTTGCTGTGGAGTGTAACTAAACGTTCTCTAAGCCTCGTTTCTTGTTCTGTCTCTCTGGACCTCCGAAGCATAGCTAACATAATACTTACCTTTTGTTCAAGCAACCACTTCTTCATCCGTCCACTATAAAGTTGTGTTCTCTCTCTTTCCATCCGTCCATTTTCTAACAACTTTGTTCTATGGTTTTGCGTTGACAGACAGTGCTGTTCCAGTAGCCGAGGGCTAATGTGTACTTACGTAGACAAAGCTGCCTTCTGGATTGCTTCTCTGGTAGAGCATTCAATGCACACTGAATTGTTTGACGCTGTTTATTAAGCGATTTCACTCTTGTGCTGTTACTATCCTCTATAGATGTGTGTATGCATCATATGCATCCATTTGTGCACACTTATAGCTCGTGTGACTGCTGGCATTGCATAACCTTTTGCTTCCTGTGGTTGCAGGACGACCCGTACAGCACTCCCCTAGGGAATGTGGCCTACCCCGTGAGTGGAGAGGAGGTTGCAGCAGCTTCATCTTCTTCTTCTGCTGAGCAAGAGCAACTTCGCTCTTTCCAAGACCTATTGCTGCACACCTTCCAGCCAAACCAGCTCCAACATCAGGACCTCGGTATGCCCATCTGTGCCAGCTATGAAGAGCAGAGCTTGCACACGTCTGGTATGTTGGGGCGGTCAGCAGGAAGTTGCAAGAGGGGCACTTGCCTCCCTCAAACCTCAGTAGCACTTGCCCTCACCTAAGTTACCCCACTGCTTTCTCACACTGATTTGCACCCCCTTAAAAAATCCTGCCGACGATCATAGTGGACCCTGCAGTACTCTGGCTTTTTCCTTTTCATGCCACCCTGCCACTGTGATCTGGTGATTAGGCTGCTCGAATGAAGACCTGAAAGTCACGGGATCAAATCCTTGCCGCAGTGCCCACATTTCGATAGTGGCTAAATGTTGGAGGCCCATCTATTGGGTGCTCATTAAGGAATACTGCAGACCTCTACTATGCAGACCTCCCATTGTCATATTGTGGTTTGGGAACATAATACAGTCGAAACCCGCGATAACGAAATCATGAGGGAAAAAAATTTTCACCTCAACGAAATACTTTCTGAGCACCGACAAACGGCCATAGGAGTCAATGCATTTCGTAATTCGTGACAACGAAAGATATTCATACCGCAGTCCCTCATTAACAAAATTTTTGACACAGGAGTGTGCAAATAATCTACTCTCGCAACATTTACATTCGAAAACTGCTGAAATGCATTCATACTACACTTAAATTGTGCAAAACTATCGCTAAGCGCACTTGAGAAGCAGCCGCCATCATTGTTTACAAAAGAAACGTAAAGCTGGCGACAATGATGATGATGGTGGCTTGCCAAAACACCTTCTCGTTATCAGGCACTACATAGGTAGCCAAATGCACATTTCTCATGGAGTTTCGTTTGCTGGCTTGGCTCTGTTCTTTTCCGGAGCCCTCCACTACGGCGTCTCTCATAATCATATGGTGGTTTTGGGACGTTAAACCCCACATATCAATCAATCAATCAATTGGCTCTGTTCTTGGCTTTGTTGGCTTTGCGCACACATGGTCATGTGTGTGGAGCCATTTTTGAAGAATTTGCTTGGTCGCTTGGTGCAACGTCAACCGTGTGTTGCGATTGCTTCATCCGATTTCGCTGCCTGCGAAGATGCCGCCCCCAATGGAAAAGCAGAAATTCATCACGCTGGAAGATAAGGCTGCAATCATCAGCGAGGTGGAAAAGGGTAGAAAAAAAAATTGACATCGTCGAAGAATTCGGCGTTGCTTGCAGCTCGTTGTCCACGATTCTCAAACACAAGGCCTCCATTCTTGGTGCACTTGAAAACAGCACGAGTGCAAGAAACAAAACTGTGATGGCTGCAGCGTTCCCGGACGTAGACGAGGCGTTGTTTGCGTGGTTTTGTGAACAGCGTGCCAACAAGGTGCCTTTATCTGGCAGGATCCTGCAACGGAAAACGCTGGACTTCGCTTGTGTATGCTCGGCCAAGAAAACTTTGAGGCGAGTGCCGGCTGGCTGAGCCATTTCAAAGCTCGCCACGACACCGTGGTCAAAGTAATCTCTGGGGAGGCAGCAGCCGTTGACTCGGTGACAACGTAGTTGTGGCTGCTCAGCAACAAAGAACTGCTCGGCCAGTACAAGCCCTCGGACATCTATAATGCCGATGAAACGGCACTGTTTTATGAAATGCTGCCATCCAAGACCTTGGACTAATATTAAAGGCCAGAAGTGCCACGGTGACAAGCACAGCAAGGGGTGCGTGATGTGCGCCAACAAGGATGGCACAGATAAACGGCCACTGCTCATTATTGGCAGGAGCAAGAAGCCCGGCTGTTTTAAAGAGAATCACAGGCTGCCGGTAAGCTACACCGCGAACTTGAAGTCGTGGATGACGCAGTCCATTTTTAGCATCTGGCTCTAGTCGTTCAATGCCAACATGCGGAAGGCAAACAGGTCGGTCTGCCTTCTTCTAGACAACTGTAGCGGCCATCACGTCGATGTGCAGCTCGGAAACGTGCGCCTGGTATTCTTTCCACCAAACTGCATTTTGGGGCTACAGCCCCTCGATCAGGGTGTTATTCACAGCATGAAGTGCGCTTACAGAGAGAGGCTGATTCAGCGTTTGCTGCTAAATCTACAATTAAAGCGCCCCATTGACGTGGACATCTTCATGGCGCTAGAGATAATCGCCCCCGCATGGATTGCAACGAGTTCAGTCGGGATAACGAATTGCTTCACACACGCCGGCCTTGTCACTCCGCAGGCATCGTGCACTGATCCAGCGGAGCCAGAAGAAGGTTCGCCTGTAGGCGCACTTGATGACGGTGCTGGTAACAGCGCAGTGCCGCCGTCACTGACCAGTGCATGGGGCGAACTTTGGGCCATGGCAAATGAGATTTTCGACGGCCTTCAGCGTTCATGAGTTTGTTTGCACCGATGTCGTTTGTGCGCTTGGCCTCGTCGTGCACAAGGAAGTGACTGATGAAACTATCGTCAGTCGCGTGTGTGAGGCCGCCGATCCCGATGAGCATCGACCGGAGTAGCCAGAGAAAACAACAAACCCGCAGGTTGTGCTGAATGCCTTCGACACAATTCGCTCGTTTTTTGACGAGCACGATGACGACGTGGCGATGGACCATTTCTCACAGTGTGAGTTGAGAGGCATGAAATTGCTGCATGTTAAGGCCCGCCAAAGTAAACTTACTGACTTTTGGAAATAAAATGCGTTTTTTGTAAATTCCATGTCTTTTCTGCTGCATTATACCGCCAACGAAATTCCCGCAAGAGCAAAATTTTGTGCTTTCCCCGCGGATTTTGTTATTGCGTGTTTTAACTGTACCCTATTGTGACCCTGTGTACTTATAGGGGATCTGGAGGTTGCAGGGCTGGATGTGCTGCATCATTTCACCATCCTGCTCCAAAATGCATTATTGCACAGAAACTGCTCCCAAATGGTTTTTAGTTTCCTCATGTGCCACTGTAATTCGTGATGTGGCATGCCCAAGCGAGCACATGTCATCACCTGGCTCACTCTAGTAACATTTGTGATGGCAGGCTAACAGCTAACTCTTTCAGACTAATCTCGCGTAAATCGATAAAATGCATAAGAGTGGCTACTTGAGCTGATTGGTATTTTAGCTTTAAAAGTTATATACTACTTTCTTGGTGTGCAGGGAATGTTTCAGAAAGGAGACAGGTAGGACAGAGTGCTCCCTGTCCTATTTGCCTTTTTCTGAAACGTTCCCTGCGCACTAAGAAAGTATATTTTTTTTACAAATCTACAAAATTTTAGTGTAAAGGAGGGAGTAAGGTCACTACAGAGAATGAAGTGGTTTTCATTATTTCTATTGTCTCAACGTGAAGTAAGCGGGTCATTTGCTGATGTATTTTCAAATAGCACCAGCATTCGCTACCACTTCATTGTGGTTAAAGTTTCCATTTGTGCTCGAGCGACACAGCCTTCCTTTCCAATGCTTCTTCACCTGATGAAAGATGGTTGAAGTGTTTTCTTTTTGCTTAAGAAACCATCAACTGCAGGCTTCGCACGGGGGGAGATTTTGTCGCATGCATTCTTCGTGCAATGAAAATGGTCGTCTCATCTCATCTTTGCTTCAGCGGCATTTGATTGCATACTTTTACTCGCACATAGAACGTACGATGCTTCGGGCGGTGTTATTGATTTGGACTTTATATGGAACACAAAGATGGTAGGGAAAACCTGCTGACTGTGTCCATTTGCACATATTTGCTGTCCCAATGGAAGTTCTCCCGGCTTCTTATTTTGCATGTCAGCTGGTATATTTTTGCAATGTGAGTATTGAAAAATTTTTTTCTTTAGTGTAGTCAGGTTTAGCTATGTAGTGCATTGCTTATCTTTCTTCTGCTCTGAGATCTTATGTCCACTCTGTTGTGATAATTACTTAAGCATAAAGTTTAATGAATTAAGTTATCTTAATTGAGATTGAAAATAAGTTTCATTAGGATATTTATAGTCTCGACTTGAACGTTCATGTCATTTGAATGTCTGGAACCCCAAGCCTTATGAATATCCCGTCTTGGTGCTATTACAGGTTTTTATAGTAAGATTGAAGCCTTTTACTTGATTAAGTACATGAGTTGATTTACTACAACGCGGTCAGCTTAAACTGACCGCGTTGTATTTCTTTTTTGTTGAAATTGGTAGTACTCTTCGTTCTATATTAACAAAGGGCTGAGCTATATGGTAAGCAATTATTAGGGGCGTGCAAATATTTGAGTTCCGAATTCGAATTCAATAATGCAAAGTTGAGCAATGTGATCTGACTTTAGAATAGCTAGTATTCGAAGTTTCAAATGATTCGACAGGACGGATCTCTAAAGCGTGATAAATGTCAATGATGCAACTCATTTAGGGTGGGCGAACGAAAACTAATGCTAACGTCATTACAGAAGGCCTTCTGCTAAAATTTTCACCAATATACTGGTGCAAAAGTGTGCACATGTTTATTTTATAGGGAGATTATGTCATTTTCACATGGCATAGCTCCAGCAGAAAGGGCCACAGAACAGTTAGGGAGGCTATAACTGCTAGCGTGAAAAAAATAACCAGCACTGAGCTTAGACATTATAGTCAAGAGGTTCAAAAATACTTGATGAGCTCCTGACTTCAGGTAAGTAGGCTTTTTTAAAACAGGAAAGTGCATAGAGCTACACTTTATCCAGGTATTGACAAAATTTTTTTGCAATACCTTCCCACTTCTGCCACTGAAGCGCCCAGTCAGTGCATGTTTTCAACTGCAGGAAACACAATAATACCACGTCGAGAAAGTTTCAAGAAAGGTCTCGGGGAGCAGCTCGTGTTTCTGCGTGAACATTTGATTGTATTTACTGGCATAATTTGTGCCCTCAAATAATTTGTGCACCCCTGATATTTTGGCAGCTTTACTAAAAAAATATATTTTTCTTATATTTTTCACTTCCCGATGCAGCTCGCTGGTGAGTGCACAAAAAGACTTATGACCTTTCGATGCTTCAAGTGGGCTGCTAGTGCAAGTCCCTTCCGACGACTTCCCTGGAACTAGGGTCCCCAGAATACCGTACCTGAACACTCAAACCTGTTGATGGGTCGCCTGAACTGCTCAAATTTTTGCCTCCCCCTATCTCGCCATTTCCACCACCTCGAGAATGCCTGCTTGCCTCACGGCACAGACAACTTTTTGTATCGTAGGTGTGCGAGGGCCTGTCGCGTCGGCTGTTCCTCCCGTTCCCTGCGTCCGTGCTGCAACGCACGCTTGGCCGATTTCGGAAGTTTAAGTTTCGACATCCAACCGATACGTTTTTACAGTTATCTTGCAATTTGCTACAGTAATCATATATAAGGCAAAACTAAAGCTCGCTGTTGTAAATTTTGCTGAAGAAAAGGGGAACCGTGCCGCTGCCAAGCACTTTAAAGTGAATGAAATGTGTACTTCAATGTGTGACGATCGGTGTGATCGATACACAATTTAGCAGAAGACTGTACGCTTGATAATGCAAGTTTTCTGCCATTGAAAAAGGTCTTTTAAATTATGTGTAGATGCTTAGATTATCCGGTATCGCCGTGTCATGGGCGCTAGTTTCTCCCAGCATTGTCGAGAAGAGATTCAAGTAAATGGGGCATTCAAACGCGCTCGACAGAACCAAGGATGATGCGCTTTGGAAGGGGAGGGCGGTGGCAGCGGCCGCAACAATGATTCTCAATCGGACTTTGCGATCACTGATTCCCACTAGACCGCTAGTGACCGGATCTGACTGGTTAAAATAAGGGCTAATACTTTCAAAGTAGGTTTGCATACAGTTGCTTGGTTTGAAGTAAGTTTTTTTCACACATACATTTAAAGTAACAAATACGCTTTGTTTGTGCTCTTTTTCTTAAAATTTATATACCGCGTGCGTTAGGAGTGCGAGACAATATTTCATGTACGCTCGCGAAATCCCCATGTAATTTGCACACCCCCTTCTAAGGGAACCAGAATCGCTAAAAAAAGTACACAAATCGCACGAGTATATACGGTATTTTTTCAGTAGGAGTCGCTCAAGGACATGAGCAGATTGCATTTTGTACTTTCAATTTATCAATAAAATTTTTGGTATTTCATATTCAACATTTTTGGCCACTGTTTGGCTCTATCTAATTCGAGATAAAGTTTCACTATTTGCACGTCTTTAGTATTCATTCTGAAACACTCGGCATTCAACCACAAACAGAAGAAAGAAGTTGACATCACAAATGGCATTTGTGGTTTCTTGACTTATTTGTGTCCGTCTTGGCACGTTCTGTCTTCTATTAGAATGTTCATTCAAATTTCAGTAAACCCTTGTTACTTTGAAGCTACTGGGACCGTGAGAAATCTTTGTATTAAGTGCGTTTTCGAATTAACAGAACATAGAGAAAGTGGAATGCAAGGAACTTGAAATTATTCAAATTAATCAGGGATGATCGCTTGCTGTGCCAGCTAGTTTGTGGCACCAAGAGCTATGTTCTCTAGCAATACCTGGTCACAGTTGTGGCGCAAACAAAAGGGAATTCGAAGCCTAACTGCTGTCACAAAAAAAAAAAAAAACGTGATCAACTGAAATGCGTGCCTGCGAAAAACAAGACATCTTTACTGCAACAGAGTAGTGACACACGGCCAGCATGTCACCTTCTCTTTGCTGCGTGAGCACGTTATGATGCGACCATTCGCCCATTCTTTCTCGTGAAATAAAGAATTTAATAACGAACAGTATGACGCTGTTTGTGATGTGTTTCGGCTGGAAAACATCGTGATCACTATTGAAGCTTTCGACCCGAGTGTTCAAAGTAGGCGTAGCAGGCAAGAACTCTGCCTGCTGTGCAAGTGCGTGAATTGCTGGAGCAACCGGCACTCGAAGGTTCGCATATATCACAGATTTCTCCAGACTGTCCTTTATCAATTTCTTTAACTTTCCCAAAAGAATGGCCCCGCCGCGGTGGTGTAGTGGCTAAGGTACTCGGCTGCTGACCCCCAGGTCACGAGATCGAATCCCGGCTGCGGCGACTGCATTTTTGATGGAGGCGAAAATGCTTTAGGCACGTGTGCTCAGATTTGGATGCACGTTAAAGAGCCTCAGGTGGTCAAAATTTAGTCTAGAGCGTTCCACTACGGCACCTCTCAGAGAAATAAGCCATTTCATTTTCTGGATTTTTTTTATTAAAAAACCTGCATTTATGTACGCCTATGTGCTTTTCATTAAAGGGACACAAGGAGAAACAATGACTTTGTTTAGATCGATAAACACAACTTTAAGAATTATAAAGCCATGAGTTGCAATGTTACAAGCTCGTTATTAGTAAATGAAGTCAAGGTTTAAGTTTCATTTTTAAATTTCACGTCGAAATCTTCACGTGTGACGCAACAAATTACAAAACTTATTTTGCATGTTTTTTTTATATTTGCTCGATGCAATTTTTGAAACTCTATATGCTAGTTATTTTCTGGATGATGGTTTTGGGATGTTAAACCCACATATAAATCAATGAGGTAAAATGGATAAATCGTGATGCGCTGACGTTGCAAGAAACATGCAAAATGCTGCCTTCACGTCACTTCTGTATTGCACTGAAGCACATCTTGTTTTGCACAAGCGCATACTTCAGCTGATCACGAGACCATTTTTAATATATAACTTTATTTTTCCAGCTGGAAGTAGCGAGGCAGGGTTGCTTCAGCTCTTTAGGTCATTAAAGTACATTGGCTAGTGGCTCTTGAAGGCCGCTGTGTCCGCGGATTAGTGGCGAAATTGGGATTGGGAATTGGCACACTGCAGCCAAAGTTTTTGAATTAACCGGACTTGTGCTGACCGGCGCTTCAAATTATCTGCTAAAACTTACATTCACTGAAATACTTTAAATTTAGCAGGATTTTGAGGAATGATTGAGTTCGAATAAATGAGGTTTTATTGTACATAAAGGAATAGTTCATACAGAATGGTTGTTTTGATATGATGCTATGGCCAGGATTATCAGCGTTTTCAACTGTGGCAGATGCCTGTGAAATTTTACTGGGACACAGGGTCACAGAATTTGTGTACTGGTCGCTCAGCACAATTTTAGGCCCCTGCGCAGCCACCTATTGCAATCATTGTCTATATACAATATTGTGTACTAGAGTGCTTTGGCCAATAGATGGCCCTTGTGTCAATAAAACACATATATCATCATCATTTCCACCGTAATTACTAATATGAACTGTATTGCGCAAAAATTTGAAGTCACGAACATGAATGAGGCTGAACAAAGTGAGGTTAGGGTGCAAGGAAATTTAGAGAATTAAGCTAATTTCATTTTCTGGATTTTTTTATTAACAAACCTGCATTTATGTACACGTATGTGCATTTCATTAAAGGGACACTAAGGAGAAACAGACTTTGTTTAGATCGGTAAACACAACTTTCACATTTATAATGCCATGAGTTGCATTGTTATAAGCTCATTATTAGTGGATTAGGTTTAAGTTTCATTTTTAAATTTCATGCCGAAATCTACACGTGTGACATAAAAAATTACAAAACTTATCTTTAGTATTTTTGTGTTATTTTTGCGTGTGTCTGTACATAGTGTACAATACAGCTGCTTGTCAACCACCATTGTAGGCAATGAAATTGCATTCTAGCTTGGGCTGAGAAGTCTGACTCAGCTCATTCTTTTGCCTGCTGGTGAAAGACTGGTCCAATTGTGTAGGCGTTTGAGATTTTACGTGTTGTGCTCACTTGTTTGCATTTTATGTGCCGATTGCAGGTGGTGCTCGGCTAGTGATCGTCGAGCAGCCCATGAAGGAGACCCGCTACCGGTACAAAAGTGAAAGTGGCTCTCATGGTCCTCTCATTGGGGAGTCAAGCACGCAGCAACGAAAGACTTTTCCTACAGTCAAGGTTCTCTCTCACTTCATAAAGTCACTGAACCATGGCCTTTACCTTTTTTTGCGCTTTTTGGAGGGGCTGAAGGCCAGTTCTTCAACCACCCAGAGGTCGAAGTGTAGGTGTGGTGTTGCACACGAGCCTACAGGGAACATGTAGCCTTGGGAATATTTCAAAATAATGGCACAGTTGGGGGACTTAAATGTGGCCCTCACTCACTTCACCCCTTTCTTATGTGTTTCTCTCTGCTCCTGTCCAAGGGCTCCTCCTCACTGTGCATGGATGAATGTTGAACACACATACCTGTGTGCTGATCGAACTGTTGGGGTCATGTGAAGGCTGAGCACTGGCAGTGATGGAAGTGCGGTTACATGCTGCTCAAAACAGTAATTTTTGTTAGGAATTTCTCCAAACCTGCTCCAAAATGACACTGAGGGAATGAGAATGACTAACTTTTACTGTTTGTCTGACTCACAAATCGTTAAAAAACTGAAGAGAATCTGTGTACTACTGTCCTGCTGTGCTACTGGTCTGCATCATGAATGGCTCTGATCTCATTTGTGTGACAAGAATTGGCACATTAAGTATATAGCTCATTTAGTTGTTTTCATTTCTCAGCAAGACATGCAGTCTACCGTATAAACCGGAATATAAGTCGAGATATTTTCAATAAAACAATGAGCTAAAGTCGCCCCTCGTCTTATATAGTGGTGTCTAGCCAAGAGTGCACCGCTGTCTGGCAATACGTGGCTTGCATGTGCATGAGAAGCAGGACCCGGCCATATTCGTAATCAAATCCAATAGCAGGTTGTTGTTTTTTCTCTCTTGTCTGTTTTTTTTTGTGTTCATTATTTGCCTTTGATCTGTTCTCAGTTTTCACTCCACTTGACATTGCGTTTCATATTTAGTGGTCTTTTTTTCGTTCACTGAATATGATTAGCGGTAAGAGAAGGCAGTACTCAGCTGCGTTTTAACTAGATGTTGTTAAGTTCGCAGCAGGGAATGAAAATTAGGCTGCTCAGCACCGCTTTGGTGTATCAGAAAAAAGCATGCGCAATTGGAGGGCGCAGAAAGGGAAGCTGCAGATGTGCAATCCTCGGAAAATGTCATTTCGTGGGCGAAGTGCGGTTCATCTGCAGCTGGAGTATACGCTAGGGAACTTTGTGTGGGAAGTTCATGCATGCTCGCTGTCAGTGACCGTGGATACCATTTGCAAGAAAGCTGTGGAACTCGCTCAAGAAGCTGGGCTCATGAGAGAAGAATTTCGTGCACCAAACTCTTGGGTGTGTCGATTCATGAGACGCAAAGGATTTTCTTTCCAGTGGCGCACATCCATCTGTCAGAAGTTTCCAGACGAGTTTGAGGACAAGCTTACAAATTTTCAGGGCTTCGTGAACTGGCTTCGGAAGCAGAACAACTACATGATGGGGCAGATTGACAATGTCAATGTGACCCCCATGTGGTTTGACATGCCTTCATCGACCATGATCATGCAGCGTGGCGCCAAGGATATGAAGCTGTTGGCAACGAGCACTCGTGCTTCACCGTCATGCTGACATGCATGGCAGATGGTAGAAAGCTTCTTCCCTTCATCATTTTCAAAAGTAAGACAATGCCGAAGGAAGTGTTCCCGCCCGGTGTTGTCGTTTGCGTCAACAAAAAGGGATACATGGACGAGGCCATGATGCTCGAATGGATACGAGTAGTCTGGAACCGTCAGCCAGGTGCACTGCTGCGTATTTGCAGCATGCTGGTGTTAGATGCGTTTTGTGGTCACTTAACCGACGCTGTGAAGGGCGCACTGGGCGATGTAAAAACGGACCTCGCCGTGATACCAGGTGCTATGACGTCTGCCCTCCAACCGATCGATGTTGTGCTAAACAAGCTGTTCAAGGACTGAGTCCAACTGGAGTACCAAAAGTGGATGTCCGGCGACAACCCAAAGACATTGACGAGCCGCCTATAGAGGCCTCCGCTTGCGACTGTTTGTGGCTGGGTGCTTTCCGCCTGGCGTTCCTTGCCGAATTCCATTGTGGAAAATGCTTTTAAGAAAGGTTTCTTCAGCAACTCGCTCTATGGCACGGAAGACAACGCACTGTGGGAGGCGGCCAGGGACAAACTCTCGTCTTCAGAAGACAGTGGTGCTTCGTCTGACGAATAGGAACAGTTGCGATGGTGGTTGAGGGGAGCTCCGACGGTCAGGGTGCGGTGCCCCCAATTCGCAAATAAATGTCGTTTGGCAATTTTGGGTTGTTTTTCTTTTTTTCTTTTTTGGTAACCTGAGCTTGGGGGGTCGACCTATATTCCCACTCGACCTATAGTCTGGCTTATACAGTAATGTGGCGAAATGTGAAAATCAGCAAGATTATCTTTATCTCACACCAATCATCTAGGGCTTATTTAGTAATATGAGACTGTGGTTACTTCTAAAATGTGGTGCTGAGATTTTGCGGTTTGATTTGATATTTGCCAGAAATCATCATCATCAGCCTGACTATGCTGACTGCAGGGCAATGGTCCTTCCTACGATCCACCAGTCAACTCAATTTTGCGCTTTCTGCTGCCACATTATACCTGCGAATTATTTAATCTCATCGGCCCACTCAACTTTGTCTCCCCTCATCCGTTTACCTTCTTTGGGAATCCAGTCAGTTGCCCTTAATGACCAGTAGTTATCCTGCCTACGCGCTACGTGCCCGTCCCATGTCCGTTTCTTCTTCTTAATTTCAACTATGAAATCCTTTACCCCGGTTTCTTCCTTGATTCACTCTGCTCTCTTCTTGTCTCTTAAGGTTACACCTATCATCTTCCTTTCCATTGCTCACTGCGTCGCCTCAGTTTAAGCTGAACCCTCTTTGTAAGACTCGAAGTTTCTACTCTGTAGGCAAGTACCGGCAAGATGCATCTGTTATACAGATAAACCTGCTTATAACGAACCTCATAATAACGAATTCCTCGCTATGACGGAAGTTTTTTAATTCTTCGTCGTTACCTCATAGAAGCGACCTTTATATAATAAAGTAACAGCGGGAGACATCCTTGATATGAAGAATTTTCTCCACGGACAATGTAAGAATTTTGCCCCAATTTAGTCAGTTTGGCACGAGCATGCACCTTTCGCAGTTGCGCCGCCGCCGACTCCCTGGCGAGTGCGAGTGTTCGTTATTGCTCACGGGTGTGCGCAAAGCAGCCAGGCAGGCCCACGAGCCCGCGGTGCCACCGTTTTTGTCCACCGCAGATGTATGTGCAGATGTGTCTTTTCCCCCCCTCCAAACCAAAAACAACTACAACAAAAGAAAAAAAGACTACTTTTGCGTTGGCAGTGCCATGCTTTTAGTTTGTGTCTCATATGTCGGGCTGCGTTGCATATGGAGGGCGCTTTACCGAATAGTTTTTCGTGGTATCCATTTTGTTCGTTCTGCATGGTGTGGCTCCCGACGATGTTCAGCTTTGCTGTTCTTTTTTCTTTTTTAATAGGTATAAATGTGTCATACCGGGAGGAGGTCGGATTAAACGCTGATGGAAACTCTCAGAGACTGCAGTGATGATGGGTCTTCGGAGCTTTGGAGGTTGACTTGTGACGTGCTTCTGTCTTGCGTCACAAGTTTGCGGGATCGTAGCCTTTGCAATTAGCTCTGGCAACAATACGACGGCGCGTTGAATGCAATGCAATGAACGCAACAGCAACAAATTGCAATGTTCCTTGAGGTAAGGCTGGTAGCCAACTTTTTCAGGTATGATATCACGGTACTCCTACAAAGCGGTGGTGTGAGCAAATAGTGCTGCTTTAGGAAGCAGTGCTCTTTTCATACAGTCTCTTTGCGTTGAAAGCGCACTTATACATGCCGAGATAGCACGTGCGTCAGCAATCACGACCTTGCCCTTAAGATCAAAGTTCACCATTGCTACTAGAGCGAAGCCTTCCTCCCCGCACGTTTCTTTATGCTCGTTTAACATGGTTTCCTTTCTGTTTTAGCATTCATCGTTGAGCATTTCTCAAGATGAAGAAACCAAGTGTAAACTTAAGTTTTCTTTGTTAGAGACAATATTAAGGTGGGACATGGTGTGTGGAGATATTTTCTGTATTTGTGGACCAAACATGATGAAAATATACATGCCTATGTAGTTTCTCCTGCTGATTTCAAATGTGCAAAAATTTTTATTGTAGGTCAATTAATTTAGAAAATACACAATGCTGCCACTCTATTGTTTTCGGAGGCAATAGAAAAGAAAGGGCTTATCAAAAAGCAAATATTAATGTATAGCTAGGCAGTGCAATTAGCAATCAGTGCAATGCTGCAAGCAGATTTCAAATTAAAGAAAAACTAGTGATTCTTCGGATGATGAAAGTTGAGGAGTCATGTCATGACTATCACATACAAAGCAATTTAATACCGTCTAAATTTATATGCGCAGCAAATGGAAATTCTGCTCTCAGCACTTTGTAATACACAGATTGGGCTTTACGTTAATGAAAAAATTATTGCTCTAGCTATTCTAGATTGCAAGATATCAACCCGACAAACTAGTAAAGTCACCAAAAATCATGTTTTCAGAAAACTGAGAAAAAGAAATAAAACTCATTCATTTACATAACTGCACTTGAAAATGCTCAGTATGCACCGCTCATGTAGTCCTTTTGACTATGAGTTCCTGGGTGGCGTTTTTTCAGGGACTGGTGCATGTTCTCCGTTGCTTGTCGCTTCTTGACTGATGCTGCTGTGCACCGTCGATCCTTTTCAGCCATGCGGCTGCGGCTTTGCCAGCTGGGGTTTAGGGTCAGCTCTTTCATAATGTCCTCGAATGCCTTTTTATTGCCTGCATTGAATTTGAGCACTGCTTCTGCCACAGCTGCCTCCACCGTGAATAGCGAAGCATGTCGCTCCTTTGGTGCCAGCGCCCAGATCATTGAATGCAGGCATTCGTTGTTATTTTGGGTTTTCCCTCGCTGGCATTGTTGCAACCGCTTTCCGTCTGACAAGCGCTCATAAATGGGAAGTAAGGCTTGGCAGATA